ACTAGGATCAATGACTACGTTATAGCATATCACTGTGTCTTACGGGAAGGAAAGGCGGGGGAATATACGTATATATCACCGCCCCCCCGTTTGTTCTCCTCTGCTCTCTCTGCCTCTGATTTACCAGGCTGTTCTGCTTTCTTTGATATATATATATACATATATTTATATGTATATATATATATATAGTAATATATATATAGTAATATGTATATATATATACATGGGCCTACTAGATCTGAAACAAAAAGGGGTGTCTCATGATATGCATTATGGTCTGAACTCATTCGTGTTATTCTTAAGAGACCACATATAAGGGGACTGTTAGTCAGTAAAAGGGTACAGATAGATACTTTTCCGTTTTCTCAGTCTCGCGCCAGAAGGGAATATTAAGGTTATTAGGGGAAATATGGGAAACAAGGACACCTTGGTCGTGACCTACTCCTTATACCAAGCAAAAACGGAAGGTTGGGAAAATAAGATAGTTGGTAAGACTGAGGAATACAAGAGATTTCTGAGGGGACTTGCTGTGGAAAAGGTGGAAAGTCGTCATAAGCTCATTGAGTATGTTTTCTACATCGGTGAGCCAAGTGGAAGACCACACAGTACGGTGTCATCGCTGGAAAGTTTGGAGCAGGCCAGAGTAAAAATTCTAAGAGAGCGTGAGAGTGCTCACGCCTTCTCTTAGAAGACTCCGCCAATGAATTCGATTGGTAAACAGTACAACATTCGATACTCAGCATTGTTAACAGCGTATGGTGCTGAGTACTGTTACTAATGCGCGAGACTCAACACGTCCTAACAATTTTTTTTGCTCTACACAGTTGCCAGTGAGCATGGTTCAACGTCGATGGCAACGATCAAATGATAGTACAACCGATCTTCAATCCGTTCTCAGTCCATGATCAAGCAGTATTTTGTCGGTTCTGCAACCAGTTTCTCAGTCAGAGTTCAAACGGTATCATAACAGTAACTCGGATGCTCGAATATCAGCCAATTGCAGTTGCTTTCAGCTTAACCAAACTGCGGACGAGCAGCAATCCAACCAGCAATCAATCAGCAATGAATCCGCAGTCAATCAACAGTCAACCAGCAAATGAACAGTATTCAAATCAGTAAACTTTTAGGCATTCAGACCAAAGATCAAGGAAAGGTTTCCAGATCGGTACTCAGACTCATTACTCAGAGCCACGCTCACAACAGGACTGTACTCCGAATTGTATTTGAGAGGTATTCATAGCGGTTCTCAGGGTGGTGTTTGGGACTGCATTCAGGACAATACTTAGAATGGTGCTTGGAATGATACTTAACTGTAGAATCAGTCTCTACTCAACCTGCGTTTAATGATTAAACTGTCAACTCAAATGGCAACAGGCTTTCATTGGCAAGCAACCAGTTTTCAGATTAGCAACTAAGAAGAGCGACTAGGAACAGGAACAAGAAACGGCAATCTGAAATAACTATTTTAAACAACAACCTACGTTATAGCCTTTTCATACTTAAATCATCCAAGAGTCACCCGCGTCGAGTTGGGTGAACAGATGAAGCGAGAGATCGGCGAGAATATGGACAGCAGCAACACTGTTAGAGTCTCCTGCTCGTTGTATCAGAGCACTGCAGAGACCTGGAGGGAGAGTGCAGTTGAGGAATACAATCTGCAGACTATTATGATGATGGAACATGCACTGACCCTCGTGAGGAATCATACAAAAATCGAGTACACATACTACTTGCATGATAAGAACGACAGACTATGTGCCACCATAACTTCTGTGGGTACTATTGAGGAAGCAAGGAGGACTGTTGGCAGTTATCAGTAAGCGTTTCGTCTCTGAACAAGAACAACTCACTTATCCGGACATTCAACAATCATTTAATCAGCAATCAATCATCTGCAGTCAGTTATTAGTGATCAGTTTCCAGCCATCAGTTTTCTGCAATCAGTTTGGTAACCAGTTGTCCGGGACCATCTGGTCGGTTTGCGCCGGTCAGTGAGTCAGTGCTGGCCAACCTCAACCGGTTTTCATGCAAAGAGGCATTCCGTAATCAGTATGTTAGTGTCATTGGTTTCAGACATGGAGATCTGTCAATCTTCATTGTCCAGACCACTTTTGTTGATGGCACTATCCACGATCTGAGGCCTTACCTGAAGAAGGGCAAGGAGGCTCATGAACTTTTCGATCTAGTCTGGATCTCAGCCACCGAATACCTTGGCAAGGAAGTACATTTCTCCGGCAGTGATCGACGTTGAGGCGCTGCCCGAGACCACCGAGTATCCCTACCTCAGACGAGGAATCTTTTCAGTGGACGGACTGCCTACTTTGTGGGAGGAGTTTTGCTCCATGGTTAACTACCGTGTCATGTGCCTCGGATGGTCATGCTCAGAGCTTGCTGGCTTCATGTGGCATTTTGTCACGAAGCCTCAGTCTCAGATTGTACGTGGGCGTGGGTCACGGCACCAGAGAAGATCAGTGAAAAGAGAGATTGAGAAAGACTGACCTGAGGGATGAGTGAGGACTCTTGAGAGGTGTTGACCATGCTTGTTTATGTGTACGTTCTGATATGATTATGAGTTCTCATTCTTCCCTCATTCATCTGATCTTGCCTTTGCTCGAGTCAGTCGGTCTTGCTTCTTGCATTGTTCTTACTTGATGATTGCTATCGTGGATGATTCTGTCACAGTTCTCAAAAATCAAATTGACATAATTGATGCATGCATAGCTCCCCATAATTTTATGGTTATTATTTGCATAATTCTCGTTGTTCCGAATCAAAATAAAATATTCCTAAGACCGGGGACCGGCGAAGACCGCAATTGAAGGGTCTCTCTCAAAGCCGGACGCACACAACAAGAAGGGATTTGCATTATTTAATTTATTTTATTTATTGCAATCACATACAAAATCCTGCATGACAGCCTGTTGGCTTTCCGGTCGCCTGAAGCGGTCCGACTGGAAAAAGTGCGGCACCGCGACCTGTGTATTTGTTGCAGTTGGTAGGTTGTCGTAGGGTCCATAGGTAGCATGAGTTCGATCTGTAGACCTGTCGGATAGGAGTCCAAGTCAGGTCTAGAGGTCGTAGCTGTAGTCTTCTCGAAGAGTCAGGGTTGTAGTTGCTACAGTACCGAAAGGCCAAGTCCACGGCCTTTCGGAAGGTCTGAGTAGTGGCCTTTTGGAGTGTCCCACACTTAGACTAAAGGCAAGTGGGCAAGTGGCAAGGCAAGTGGAGGAGTCTGGTCGTGCTGAGTCAGCAGTCCCAGTCCCAGGTAGTCCTGGTCCAGTCAAGCAAGTACCTCATGGGGTTGTGTGCACTTCGGGCCTGGGAAAGGGGCGAGACCAACGCACTGCAGAAGTATAAATCAAGAGGCAGGGCTCATTCATTCATTCATTCCTGCGTGAGCCATGCGGAAGTGCTGCCACAGCGACTTGTGCAAGGTGGTCTGCAGCAAGCCCGAAGATGAAGTGGGCAGAGAGACGAAGCTTAGCCACAGCGATAGGGTAGAGGCGGCCATAGTCGCCGTAGATGTAGTTAGTGTTCAGTGTGTGTGTGTGTGAGTGTTCAGAGAGACGCGTGTGGGATATCCAGGGTGATCCACTGTATGCGAACAGAGAGTTGTATGGGCGTTATATCGCCATGGCCATTGAAAGTGAACTCGTATCTGGGTTGCCATATCTCTGAGTACTGAGTGGGCGCATGTCGTGAGTTTGCTGCGCTACGGTTTGCATGCATGTAAAGTGTGAATGAAAGCAAGTCTGATTGCATTGGTATCGGAGATGGTACCAGCTGTTCCACGCCCCGCGTTGTGTGTCGCAGGGAGTGATGCGCCATAGCAAAGTGGCCGATGAATAAGAAGTCCGCCATAGCGGACACCGAGGTTGAAGAAGCCGCCGCGCGCACCTGCCGAGAAGACCATGACGAAGAAGAAGACGGAGAGAGAGAGAGAGAGAGAGAGGATGAGCGATACAAGATTGGCTTACCACGTTTCTGCGTCAAAGACATCGCTACGGCAAGAGAGAGAGAGAGAGAGAGAGAGAGAGAGAGAGAGAGAGAGAGAGAGAGAGAGAGAGAGATGAGCGATACAAGTTTGGCTGTCACTTACCTGTGAAGTGTGCCGTGTAGTCCCACAAAGTGAGAGGCGGCCATAGCCGTGGAGCTTGACCACAGAGGACGAAGGAGGTTGAAAGAGAAGGCGGAGGAGGACACTGAGAAGGGAGAGAGAAGCCATAGCCGAGGAGGTGAAGAGAAAGGAGGCGAGGTAGGGAGAAAGGAAGAAGAAGGGTGGTGAGGAAGGAGAAGCCGACCGCCATAGCTGACCGGGAGAGTTGACCAGGCGTTGACCGGGAGTTGACTGGAGGTGCTGACCGGCGCTGACCAGAGTTGACCAGGAGTTGACCGGAGGTGCTGACCGGCGCTGACCAGAGTTGACCGGCGGTTGACCGTGGGTTGACTGCAGCGTTGACCAAGGCGTTGACCAAGACCGTTGACCATGATTTTGACCAAGCTGGAGCCGGTATATTCTCGTCAAGCCTTCAGCCTACCCCTCGCCCTATGGATGTGCGTACACCCTGTGGTACTTGCTGAAGTCAAGTTTGTCTGTCTCTTCTTTTTGCATTGAGTCTCTTCTGTCTAGGTGTACGAACTCTGTGGATGAAGGATAGGGCCTCGTTGACCAAACCCCTGCCGGACTAAGTAGGGCTAAAGACTGTGTCTGACGACTCGACTGTCCCGGAGGACACAAACCCTCCCAAGGACTGGTACAGACCGGCGGGCTGCTCGGTGTGGCACGGTAGGCCCGAAAGTTGAGTTGTGGGCTGCACAACAGGCCGTCCAAGTGTTGAGAGACCTGCTGATCGCGTCGTCCTGTCTGCGACGTTAAATAATTCCTAAGGAGTTACGGGGGTTCTCCTTAAGTGCCTCCTGATCAGCAACAGGTCTAGTAGTGACAGCCTTAGAGTAGGTCCAGGCTAGTGACCATAGTTGACAGGATCGTGTCCGGATTCTATAAGTCTTAGATTGAGTGAGTAGGTGAGTCAGTCAGGGGGAGTAGAGTCTAAGTGGTGAGGAGTGGAATCGATTGTCTGGTTGTGCACCAATCACCACGGTTGACACCTGTACAGGGAAAAGTACTGCCCCCTCCGAGGCCGAGCAGGCCCGGATTGCCGCCCTTCTGAGAGAAAAGAGAGAAAAGGAGCTCTTGAAGCAGGGAAGTTGAAGGCCATTGAGGAGGAGGAGGTGGCGCAGAAGAAAATATTGGAGGAGATGATGAGAATTCAAAAGGAGAAGCTGATGCTGATGCTGGTAGAGAGAGAGGAGGAGGAAAGGAGGAAGGCTGCAGAGAAAGAGGCAGCAAGGAATGAAGAAGAAGAAAAAGAAGAACCCCTTGAGAGAAGACGCAGAGAGAAGAGAGGGGAAGTCAGTGCCACGAAGGAGGATGACAGATGGAGGGAGAAGAAGATATATGAATGGGTGGCTAACTTATCTCTAGGAGAAGATGAAGAGGCACAATTGTATGTGCCGCAGGAGGAGAGGGAGGCGTTTGCCAGGGCACTGGAGATGATAGAGGACCCCGTGGAACGCCAGGAGACAGAACATGAAAAGAAGTTGGAGTGGACACTGAAAATGATGAGGGAGAAGAAGAGAAGGAGGGAGGAAGCCAGTAGAATAGCCGGGGAGGTTGAGCGTGTACGAACCGGCAGGCAAGAACTGCAGGCCCAAACAGAGGTCTCTGCCAAATTGGATAAGGTGATGGGCTTCCTAGAAATTCTGATCGAGGCCTGGCTCGAAGAGCACCAGGCCCGTAAGGGCCAAGATGTGACTCTGCAACCGATGCGATCTGGGTTTAGGGAGTTTGTGAGCGATGTGGTAGGCCACGTCGTGGCTGAGATTAGAAGACTGAGGGATGGCGTCGACAAGTTTTGCGCTGACGCCATCGAGACCGCCAAGGTTGTGGCCACGACAGAGGCCACGGCTCGCCCCCGCAAAGAGCCCATTAAGCTGAAGTTCCCTAACCCATATAGCAGGAAGGAGGAAAACTTCGATAATTGGTAGGCCAACATAAACACCTATGTCTTTTTACAGCATATTACCCCCGAGGAGCAAGTCCTCGTTGCCTTCCACGCGTTGAAAGACGAAGCAGCCAGCTTCGCCAGGTCTCTCGCACGTGCCGCAGACCGCGAGCACAATATGATCGCGTACTCTAGACTTACCCCCCTCACTACTTTCCTCAAACTCCTGCGCGAGAGGTTTGCTGACGTCACTAGAGGCGTCAGGGCCTCCGACAAGCTGCAAACCATCCATTCGCGACAGTGGAGGAGTGCGAGAGCACTCAAAGCTGTCATGGACGACTTGGTAGCCGTCCCGGACCATGGGGTCACTGAGGCCCAACTGGTCCAACTGTTCTATCGTGCCATCCCAGAGCCCTTACGAGAGCACTTCTTTGACAAAAGTTAACAGCCCACCATGTCGTACGATGCGCTGAGTCGAGAGGTCGTGTTGTACGAGGCCCGGTCAATGCCAGTTACCACTTTCTGGCATAAGGACTTAGACAAGGGTAAAAAGTGGAAAGGTCGTACCATCTCTGGCCAGGTTAGGGCCAATGATCACATGATCCTTACTTTGGAGGAAGGTGGTACTGACGAGGTCCCGTACAGTCAGATTGACTGGGGCCTCGAGGAGGAGGACAGTAGCATGGGACAGGGGACATCCTATGCTGCTGTCGCGGCTGGAGTGAGGCCGCAAGGAAGAGGAGGAGGCCAGGGCCAAAGGGGCCAGGCCATGGGAGGCCGAGGATCAGGCGCACAGGGGTCTGGTGGTCAAGGGAACCGCTAAGCGGGAGGTAGAGGTCAAGGTCCCCCGCCGAATCGTCAAGGTCCCAGTCGGTCCCCACAGCGACGAGGTGGCAGATCACCTCAAAGCTCAGGAGGTTGGCACCCAGGTTGGCCGCAATGTCGGTCCTGGGAGGATCTGGGCCTGGACCAGAATGTATGGCAACAACGGATGGAGCAGGGGCAGTGCATTTATTGTGGTGACCTTGCCCACATCATAAAATATTGTCCCAAGTATCGACAGGCCCGTTGGGCTGCCCAAGAGTCAAAAGGCAGCCGCCGGTTGGGGTTGCAACTGCCCCTACTACTAAGTCATGTGGGGAAGCGAGCGCGCGCATAAAGGAAACTCCCACACCACATGAGCCTTCGACAAAGGTTGCAGGCCCGTGCGTAGTTAGCTTTCCAGAGACTGCTTGTGTCAGCGTCTCTCTAGGCACGTCCCTCACAAGCGTGGCAGAAGAATTGAAGGAGAGGATGCATGCCTGGGCCAAGATGAAGAAAGATAGCAAAGGGCAGCTAGTACTAATAGATGTAGAAGTTTTCAGGAGTAGAGTAGGGGCCCTTACAGATTCAGGGGCCACTCACAGTTATGTTAGCCGTAAAGTGCTGAAGAAGCTGAGGCTAGGACTGAAAGTCCAAAAGTTAGTAGACCCCATATTTAGTGTCCTCGCCGACAACCGCACGATGCGAGTTGAGGACTACGTAGACGGAGTCCAGGCGTACTTCCGCCTAGAGAAAGATGGGAAGGTGGAGAAAGTTCTCCATTCCCTGACTCTCCTCGTACAGGATGACCTTCCGTTTGACATAGTCCTAGGCATGGATTGGGGAGAGGCAGCCACACTCCACTTGAGAGAGCATGAGTGTAGGCTCCCTAGTCCGTCAGGCGAGGTTAAGACAGCCTGTCTGTTCCATGTGTCAGGAGTAGACAACTCGCTGGCACATTGTTGTCTCAGTGCTCCCGCGTTCGCGCGACTAGTGAGAAAGGAGCAGTTAGAGGATCGGGTCTTTGTAGTGTATGTTAGACCTGTCACTGAGCCTAAGGAAGAGGTTAGTTCCACAGATCCAGCCATTGCCAAGCTGCTGGAAGAGGTTAAAGACTTATCTGAGCCGCCGACAGGAGTAGTGCTGCCAATCCAGCACAGGATAGAGATAGAACCTGGCAGTGCAACTCCTAAGGGAGTAGTCTACAGGATGTCCCCTAGAGAGTTAGAGGAGTTACGCAAGCAGTTAGACGAGCTCCTTGAGAAGGGTTGGAGCACCAGTTTTATTTGTCCCCAAGAAGGAAGGAGAGTTGCACATGTATATACATTACAGGGGTCTGAATGCTATTACAGTCAAGAATGCTGAACCACTGCCCAGGATAGACGATCTCTTAGATTGGGTGCAGGGGTGTAAGTATTTATCAAAGATACATTTGAAGTTCGGGTATCATCAGATTGAGGTCCATCCTGATGACCAGTACAAGACTGCAATCCGGACTCGTTATGGGCATTATGAGTTTATAGTGATGCCCTTTGGACTGACCAATGCGCCAACGACATTTTAGCGATGTATGAATGAGTTGTTTAGGCCTTGGTTAGATAGGTTCATCGTAGTATATTTAGACGACATCCTAGTTTTCAGTTGGACCCTCCAGGAGCACCAGGGTCATTTGAGGCAGGTCTTGGAGAAACTGAGAGAAGCTAACTTCAAGATCAATGCAAAGAAGTGTGAGTGGGCCAAGCCACAAGTTTTGTACTCAGGCCATGTGTTAGACGAAGATGGCATTAAGCCAGAGGATAGCAAGATAGCGCCAATTAGAGACTGGTCGACGCCCCGCACATTGACAGAGTTGCGGTCGTTTCTGGGCCTAGCTAATTACTACAGGAAGTTCGTGAGGAACTTCTCTACTATCGTCGCTCCCTTGCGCAGGTTGCTCAAGAAAGAGGCAATCTGGCAGCGGGATAAAGACTGTACGTCTGCGCTAAAGAAATTAAAGCGCGCATTGATAGAATACCCTGTCCTCAAAGTAGCAGATCCGTCCTTGCCATTTGTCGTCACCACGGACGAGAGTCAGTATGGAATAGGCGTCGTGTTACAGCAGGACGACGGCAATGGCTACCGACCCGTAGAGTTCATGTCAGCGAGGATGCCCTCAGAGAAGGTAGTCACCTCGACGTATGAGAGAGAACTCTATGCTCTCAGCCATGCCTTAGAGCATTGAAAGCATTACCTGCTTGGGAAGCACTTCAAAGTGTATTCCGACCACGAAACGCTTAGATGGTTGAAGACACAGGCCAAAATGACACCTAAGTTGACCAGCTGGGCCGCTGAAATAGACCAATATGACTTTGAGCTCAAGCCAGTTAAGGGCAAGTACAATGTACTTGCGGATGCTCTGAGTAGGAGATCGGACTGCTTTGGAACTATAGTTTATTATCTGGATATAGGGAGTGACCTGCAGGAGAAAGTTAGACAAGCATATGCCCAGGACCCTATCTATAGTGACCTCCTCAAGAAAGTCAAGGAGGCCCCAGAGACTGAGCCAGATTACTGCACTACAGAGGGTTTGTTATTTGAGAAAACTAGTGTAGTAGACCGCCTATGCGTTCCCAACAGTGAGGAGATCCGAAGTGTGATCCTAGGGGAATGTCATGATACAGAGGGACACTTCGGTTGACAAAAGACTTTAGCCAATCTTATGCACGCGTACACATGGCCAGGAATGAAAAACGACTGCATAGAGTAGGTCCGCAGTTGTAAAGTCTGTCAGAGGAACAAGACTACTACGCGTGCCCCTCTATGTCTTCTCAGACCCTTGCCTATTCCAGACCAGCCTGGAGACTCAGTCTCCATTGACTTTATGGATGCCGGTGTCAAGCGTAGACATGGCAAGAGCCAAGTCATGGCTATAGTTGATAGATTTAGCAAGTATGCTATTTTTGTTCCTTTGCCTGCAGAGGCACGCACAAAGTTAGTGATCCAGAAGTTTTTCGATTTTTGGGTTAGTGAACATGGAGTCCCGTTATCAATAATCAGTGATAGAGACAATCGTTTCACTAGCCAGAACTGGCAGGAGCTGATGCGAGTCTATGGATCTAAGTTGTTGATGTCGTCTGGCCGCCATCCAGAGACTAACGGTCAGACCGAGCAAATGAGCAAGATCCTGAAGCAAATTATGTGCATGTACATTAGACCCGATCAGATCAACTGGGACGAGATGTTACCCAAGGTAGCGAGTGCATACAATAACAACGTGCATTTGTCCGCCTGTCGCACTCCGAATGAGTTGCACAAGTCCTTTAGACAGCGCATACCATTTGAAGGGCTTAACCGGGATCAGATTCACAAGCTACCGCCCGGTACCAGGGAGTTTGCGATACAGCATGAGAAAGAGATAGCCATTGTTGTTGAGAACCTCAGGAAGGCCCAGCACCAGATGATAGAACAGGCTAATAAGCACCGTCTCCCATCGCAGTTTTAGGTAGGCGACCTGGTCTGGGTAAGTCTAAAGAGTTTGCTACTGAGGAAAACATCTTGCAGAGGTTACTGCCCGCGTATAGAGGACCGTCGCCAGTTCTAGAAGTTAAGGGCGGAGACGATGGACCGTCCTATACTATAGAGATTCCAGCACACCTCCACACCTACCCTGTGTTCCACGCATCAAAGTTGTTGCCGCGTGTCACCAGTCAACAGTTCTCATCTAGACGGTCCATGATCCCTCCAGACATGGACGGAAGATATGACATTGACGACATTGTAGGTGAAGATGTGTTCAGAACAGGAGGTAGAGGTCGTCCACAGAAACAGTATAAATTCCGGTTTGCTTATCAGGAGCCGGAGGATGACCGCTGGCTCACAAGATCAGAACTTCTAGAAATAGTTCCCGATATAGTTAGAGCCTATGAGAGAGATCAGAGATGTAAAGGTCCTACCTTCGACTAAGTTATTCTCGGAAGACCTCAAATTTAGGCCGGCGGGAGCGAAACGATATTCACGAGTTCGCAGTAGCTGATGCAGATCCCAGGGCTTGATCCCTAGCCCCCACCTTACCTGTGTACAGTACCTGTGTCGACCCGTAGAGTTGAACCCGCGACCTGTGTATTTATAGTTGTTGGTAGGTTGTTGTAGGGTCCATAGATAGCATGGGTTCGATCAGTAGACCTGTCAGATAGGAGTCCCAGTCAGGTCTAGAGGTCGTAGTTGTAGTCTTCTCGAAGAGTCAAGGTCGTAGCTGCTACAGTACCGAAAGGCCAAGTCCACGGCCTTCCGGAAGGTCTGAGTAGTGGCCATTCGGAGTGTCCCACACTTAGACTAAAGGCAAGTGGGCGAGTGGCAAGGC